TTGCCACAGGTCTAGTAGCTATCAATCAAAGCACCAGAATTATAACGCAAATTGTCTTGTGGCTTTTCCTCCTTAAACCTACTGCCTCAAAGGAAAAGTTCATTTATAAACAACAAAGAGTTAATTTGTATTGCTATCAAATCTGTAGATGTATGTAGCTTAAAAAAAACTAAATAATTCAAGAAGCCTTTATAAAAAGATGAATTCCCTGATAATCTTTTCATTTCCTATCCCTAGAGGCAACCACTTTTAATTCTATTAACTAATCCTCTTGATGCTTTTCTCTCTATCTCTAAACAGCATGTTCGTTGCTACTCCATTGTATTTCTGACATTTTTCAGATTAATTTCCACTACATGGGAAGACCATTTGACTGTATTTCACCTGCCATGTAGCATGTTGCTGAATCAGTATTATGTGCTTATGTTATGATGACTGTATACATATTACTTACTGAATCATAGAATATACTGTACCGGATTTTCCTTATTGCACAACTCTGTTCCTCTTCTCATTAATAGTCATCTGGTTCACTCATCTTATTTCTTCGTTTACTGGGGATTTATCTTATTTATTCCAATCTCTCACTTGTATAAATGACCTCTACCACATTAAGACTTTCATGTTATTAAGAAAACATCTTCCCCGCAGTTTGATGATTTCTAGGCTCACTGCATAGCTCAGAGCCTGGGGACCTCTCCTCATGATTTGGGGAATCCTTTTGCCTTTCTGTATGGTAGGAGCCCCAGGTTTGTACCCTATGGTTACTCTTTTTTTATTTTTATTTTTTTCTCTGTGGTTACTCTTTCTTGATTTACTGCTCTGGCTTGATGAAACACATTCTTCATTAGTTAGGCTAGAAAAAGTACATGAGAGAAAATGTTTCCAGATCTTGAAACTGTCATTAAATGAGTTAGTGTTTACAAATTGCACAGAAAACTATCAAGCACATGATATGCCAAATAATTTTTTAAAATACTTCAACCTTTACTCTTGTCTGGTTACTTGAATAGATATTTTAGTTCACAAATTGTTCTTTCCTCAGGATTTTGAAGGCATTGGTGTGCTGTTTTCTAGTATGGAAGTTGAGAAGTCCAATGCCTTTCCAGCATTGTTAACCTTGCTTTGAAGTCTTCAATTTTAAGTTAAATTTAATGATAATATGAGTATAAATTTTTCATTGATTCCAGTGACATTCAGTGAGCCTTTTCAATCTAGATATTCATAAATTTTAAGTCTATGAATATTCTTGCAGTATATCTTTGGTGATTTTTTCTACATTCTCTGTCCTTTTCCCTCCCTTTTCTTTCCCTGACTCTCTTGTTTTGTGGCTGGGCTTCTCAGTTCTCAACTTTTATTTTACATTTTGAATATATATACAGATCGTCTTCATCTAATATCTGAAATTGTCCTGCACTTTACCCTCTAATTTTTTAACTGAGCTTTTCATTTCTGCTATTCTCATTTTAATACAACACTTTTTCTTCTCTTCCTATATTTTTTCATAGCATATTGTTTTATTTACTTCATGACTGTGGTATTCTTTCTTAGTGTATAATGATAGTGAATAAAGTAATAATAAGAAGAAAATGTTTTCTTAATGGGGCTCTTATAGTTCCTTTCATGTGTCTGCTAATTTGCTTTGCCTTTTTTTCTCTTATATTAGAAGCCTCCCTCAAATGTTTGAATTTGGTTTTTGTTAACACCTAAAAGCTTGGCAATAATACACTAATCAAAGCTGAGTGCAAATGAATATGTGACTGTTATCCATGCAGTTGAGTCTATGTCCTTCTCTTGGGAAACACCTGATTGTAAATATCTCTTAAGGATTTTAATTCTATCATTTGGTTGTTTTTATTTATTTATTTATTTAGGTGCCAGGGATCGAACTCAGGTCCTTGCACTTGTGAGGCAGGCGCCAGAACCACTAAGCTAAATCCCTGGTCCTTGTTTTGTTTTTAGAAAATGCTCTTCAACTGGTTGAGGTAACAGAAGCTCATCTTCCAGGATTCTGAATGCTCTACAAGCTTTCACTTATTTTTCCTTCATTCAATATGGAATCTCACTCAGCCTGAGTTTTTCCAGTGCAAAATCTGAATCTTCGATTAGGCTGGTGTAGGGGCAATCATGAGGCTGGGAAGAATGGGGAGTAGAACTTGGTGACTCCAGTTCTTAACCCACCTTTACCTGCATCCTTAGGTGCAACACAAATGGTTTCTTGGCTTCTTTCACCGAGTGATTGGGATTAGCTTTCTTTTCTGTTTATCTGAGAAGGCAGCCATCATGCCTTCATCTCCTTTCTGTTCTCTAAAATTCCGTTAACACCTCTATAATTCTAATGACAGTTTTAGGTTTGTAATCGTTAAAAAAGTGGAAAAATTAAAAATAGTTGTATTGAGATTTCAAGAAGGAACAGACACAAGCATGTTATTTTATCCAAACATCTTTACTTGGAAATATATTTGTAGATATTATTTTTAGTTTTTTTTTAAATGATCCATTTAGTTTTTAAAGGCATGAAAGTCTACTGTGGTGGTGGTGGTGGTTGTGTGTGTGTGCACAAGTGTGCAAGTGTGTGTTATACTTTCTTCCCTTCCAAGGGATGGGTGGGAAGGGCACACCACAGACACATAAAGTGCGCAAGCAGAGAACCAGAATGATGTAAGGAAAATAGCACGAGTCTCAGCAGAAAAGACCCAGGACTGGAGAGAATTCACAAGGATTATGAATTTTGGAATTAAAGAAATTGAGATGTTTTGAGAAAATCCATGGTATATGGTTGCCTGAGTTGGTGTTGACCCCTGGGAAATGTGCATATGTGTATTGAACTAAAAATCTTAATGTCTCTCTGTTTTTTGAGTGCATGCTTTCCTTTTATAAAGTAATATCTTTCAGTCTTTTATTTTTATTTCATAGGCTTGTAATGTCTGTCTGTTGTCTGCAGGGTGTCATATGAATTCCTTTGTTTGCCTTTCAGGGTCCTTTACTCTCTGACCCCAATTTACCTTGCCATTTGTCTGTCAGTATTTTCTGACATAAATCCTTCCTTTCAGCCAAACAGGAATGCTTCGTGTACCACAGTCTTTTCAATTTGCCTTTCTTTTAGAAAGTCTCTCCCCTCCTCTGCATTTAGTGCTCTTAGCCTTTATTTAAGATTGGACTAAAATCCATTTTGTAAGCATCCTAACCCTGGTACACAGGTTCACGTCCATGTCCTGACCAGGTCACCCAGAATCAGTTTACCATCAACTCATCATGCCCACTTTATCTAGATTTATTTCATTTAACTCTTCCTGAAACATAGGCATTTTGCATTTTTATCCTAGCATTCATTTTTTTCTGACATTAAAAAA